TAGTTTTAATCCTTTGGGTTTGTTTGCTTTCACCACCTTCCTAGCATATAACCAATTTCAATATGCACTTAAACTGTACTGCTGTAGGCCTGCTGTAGAAATGAACCAACAAGGTTCAAAGCTGTGGCTTGTGGTTGACTGACATGTGTCTATAAATACAGACGTCACAGCTGCTAATTGCACTTTTGTGTCTGGAGTGTAACATTCACTCATCTGTTCCTTCAACCAGAACATAGCCATCATCTCAGAAGCAGCGAGCTCAGGTATATCCCTGCAGGCTGACCGTCGAGTGAAGAACCAGCGGCGGAGAGTCCACATGACACTAGAGCTGCCATGGAGCGCAGACAGGGCTATACAGCAGTTTGGTCAGTAGATATTACTCCTCTGTACTCTCAGTACATGATTTTCCTTTGGTTTCCTCCTCCTGTGTTAGACTGCACCCTGTTAATAAAAAAAAAAAAGAATAATAAAAAGGTATGTAACAAAATTGATGTTCTATTCTCAAACACAGGGAGAACCCACAGATCAAACCAGGTCACAGCTCCAGAATATGTCTTCCTCATATCGGAGCTTGCAGGAGAGCAAAGATTTGCATCCATTGTTGCCAAAAGACTAGAAAGCCTGGTGAGGATGCTTATTTCTTATTTCTCTTAAGTCTTGTAGAGACTTTTCTCTTCATATGTGGACTTCATTTGTGTTCATTCTTTGTAACAGGGTGCTCTTACTCATGGTGACAGAAGAGCAACAGAAACTCGGGATCTGAGCAGATTCAATTTTGACAACAAAGTAAGAACATCAAGCACTTCTCTGAGAGGATGTCTTGTGGTTTTTAGGGCAGTGACTCACTCATACTCTCCCACAGTATGGCAGAAACGCTCTGGAAATTGTGATGAAGTCGATCGTAAAGCTTGATACTCCATTAGTATCTCCACCCTCGGACTTTAAAGGGGATTTCTTCAAAGGTATGACTCATACACTGTTAACCACGGACAGGAGTTATTTCCTGCATTTCTGCAGGCTTGTTGTGTTTGCTGCGCATGTAGTTCATACTGTAGATGTTGGTATGTTTGTTGTATACCTTTCTGTTGTTGTTTTTTTTTTTAATCAATTACTTTCACATATGGTTATTGTCTTTTTTTTCTACAGAAATTCAAATTGGATTAGTAGGTGTTGGCCTCATAAATGTGGAGGACAGATCTGGCACACTATCACTAGACAAAGGTGAGTAGAAACTGGGAAATTTCAAGGAGAATCTCTTGTTTTTACTTCTTGGGAACCTTTAAATAACCACGTGCCTTGTTACTGTTGCAGACTACAACAACATGGGGAAGTTCCTGAATCGTATTTTGGGCATGGAGGTCCATCAGCAGAATGCTTTGTTTCAGTACTTTTCTGACACGCTTGCAGCGGTGATTCAGGAAGCAAAGAAGAATGGCAAATATGACATGGGCATTCTCGGTAAGATTATTCAACTGCTTTTACAAACACAGAAGCAAGGCTGGGCCAAAGGATGGCCTTTGTAATAAATTATTAAGTGTTTTATTCTTTCTTGGAGATTGAATGTTACTGTTGTGTTTCATTTTAATCATTCAATGCATTTATTTCTGTCCTCTATTAGATCTGGGCTCGGGTGATGAAAAGGTAAAGAAGGTGGACTGCAGGAAATTTCTAACACCTGGCTACACTACATCAGGGCATGTTGAACTCTACACTGTAAGTTCATATATGCATATGCTCTAGTCAGAGATTTGCGTGATTAGTTGGTTCAGCTATAGACTATGTATGAGGATGAGACGTGGTACTGAAGAAATCTTTTTTTTTAAATCTTACTTTGGGGAAAAGTTGGTGAACCTTTTAACTGGTAATTCTATACATTGAGTTTTGATATTCCAGTGAGGGGAGGGGGGGGGCCTGGAAACAGGAGTGTTGTTGTTGTTTTGCACATAACAAACAGCAACAATTGACAATAAAATAAGACAACATTTAGAAAAACATATTTTTTAGATTATGTACATTGAAGAAAAATAACCCAATACTACCCATATACTGAACATATTTAACAAAACACAGGTTGAACAAGCTCTTAATATTTTAATGCCCAAGACTGATTTTAATTGTAGGCTCTAATTAAGTTCTCCATTCAGTCTTATTTATATACTTCCAATTCACAACATTAGTTACCACAAGGTAGTTTATATTGTAGGCTAAAGACACTACAATATTCTACAGAGCCCGAACATAAGGTTGCCTCTCGCTTTGTGATAAGAAGTCCGAAACATCTGAAATGTTTTAATTTTTTGTTTTATGTCAGACAAATATTTGGTTCTATTGGAAGAAAATAAGTGATTGAATGTAGGCAATTTTATCGTAAACTGATCTGTGGACTGGAAGGAAAGAAAGCGCGTCTATCTGCACATGTCTAGTCAAGTCATCTGTTTGAGCGACATTTTAAATATGGTGAAGATTGTGGTTAACGCTATTAAATGTTGATATTTAACCTCCTTTTTTTTTTGTGTGTGTGTGTGTGAGAGATACGCTCAGTCTTAACTTTTTTAAAGTGTTTTCTTACTTTTAGACTTGTTATTTTGTATGCCATTTATAATGTTGTGTCATAGCAAACATGCCCCTGACTTTATGTGTCTTCATTCACAGGTAAGTGTTGAAAGGGGAATGTCCTGGGAAGAAGCCACACACGCTTGGGCAGACCAGAATGGAGCTGATGATGGTTTCTATGTGCAGGTATGGAAGTACTAACTACACTTAATAAATGTTATGGAAATCATTCGTAATTGATCACATTTAATTCCTTGATTTTTTTTTTATTTTTTTATTTTTATTTTTTATTTTTTTGCCTCAAATAGCCAAACCTCTTTCTGTGAGTTAGCCTCTAGATTGTAATAAAGTGTAGTTAACTCGTACGTGTGTGTGTGTGAATGCAGAGCAGTGACATATGACATACATGTCTGTGGTTGATTTTCAGATGAGGAACAACAAAAAAACGGCCATCCTTGTCAAAGAGGTGAACACTAAGAAGAGGCTGTTCTTGGTGTACAGGCCCAACACCGGCCGGCAGGTCAAACTGGAGACGTACGCAGACCTCAAGAAGAAATTTAAAAAGGTTAGATGACACTCTTTCCTTTAAACTGTGACAAGAAAAAGACAGAATATTTTTTGTGAATCATATGTGTTTTGCCCTCCCTGTATTAGGTCTTGTCAGAAGATGCCAAGCAGCACTGGACTGACCAGTACAAGTCTTCAGAAATAATCTGCTCACACGCATATTGGTATGTGCACTTCAGATTTGCATGGTGCTTACTTTATTCTAATCCCACATTTGTTGATGACAGAAACTACTTCTCAGAGCACCAAATGCAGATGAATTTGGCAATGAAAATGGTACCAGTATTTAGAACAACACTTTTCTTCTTTTGTCATGAAGACAACTTAATGAGAGGACATCAGCAGCTTCAACCTTTTGATGCTTCCATTGCTCTGTGGTCCTTTTTTTTTTTTTTTTGGTAAACCTGTTTGTGTTTTTCTGTTGTCAGGCGCGGTAACTGCAAGAAGGCATCAGTAGGTCTACAGTGTGAAGTTGGTCTTCGGTGCAGGAGGTACTACGTTTTGTGTGGATCAGTGCTCAGTGTTTGGAATGAGCTGGAGGAAGTGCTCACCCCGGTCAGTGGAACCAATGTAAAGGTGCAGATTGTCCGGCTGAGAACCGAAGATGGGCAGAGGATAGTCGGTAAGTTAAGTCACTGCTGTACTAAAGGAGAAGTTCATATTTTGGAAACTAGTCTCATTTCTTGGTAGAGTTGGCGTCTCAGCGAAACTCCTGGTTTTATGTTTTGTGCCTTATTATTTAACAGACAGACATGTAACATGGTGTCTACAGATGTGTAGACACCGAGCTTATGCTCAGACCTTTTTTTTTAAAATTTCTGTGTTGTTTTTAATGCAGGACTGATCATTCCGGCGAACTGTGTGTCTCCGTTAATTAACAAGCTCTCAACATCGGACCAGTGTCAGCAGCTGGCTGTGCAGGAGCAGCAGAAACGGCAGCAGCTTCACCCTCAGAGTCTGAGCCACACACACCACACATAGTTTAGGGGCTTTAATCCCCATCTCTACCCCTCAAGTTCACATCCCTCCCTGAAGGGATCTCTACACTGCAGGCTCCAGGACCTTCTGCACAACCCTCATTGTTCCTGAGGGTCTGAGGTGTGGTACCAAGCTGTGGTGACACTCGGATGTAAAGCAGTGGTTGTATAGAGAAATTTTCTTTTTTCTTCTACCTTCCCCCCCCCCCAACCCTCCAAAATTTGTAATCTCCAGAGACTCTTTCTTTCACCTGGAGATATTTGACAGGTGATGTATTTTCCTCTGACATTCAGAGTGAGAAGATTTGTGACTTTAAGAGAGCATGTTGATCTGAGTTATCCACTCCTCACCGATACTTTACCCTGTTTTACCCCAGAACCACTTCAGTATGAAACAAATACTTTTTGTGGGTCTGGACCAAAAGTAGATGAAGCAAAATCTACGTTTTTTTCAGAGTCAGAGGAAAGTCTCAGATGGGCATATAGTGCTTAACTACAATCACATATTAAAGTATGCTAGAGACTCATTATATTAGATATTACCCAGCACTACTGCAGCGTAAGAATTTTTGTTTTTTTCTGAAGTAGAAAAAGTGATGCAGTTTACTGCAGGAAACCTTTTGCTTTTTGGGGGGGCTTCTGATGCACTGTATCTGGCATATTTGCTCATGAGACGGTAAAAACCAAATATCGTTATTGTCAGGTTCCACTTCCTTCTAAAATCAGGCCAATTTCTGTTGTTGCTCATCTGTTTTTCACACAGGTCTCAGATTCCTTAAAGTTCCTTTGTTTGTTTTAATGTTTAACTTGAACATTTTGTTCCTCTTTGTCCATGTTGGAACTTTATCAACGAGTTGTTTGTGAACGTGCATTTGTGTGAGTACTTGGAGCTACAGCAGTTGGTCACCTTCACAAAGATGATTTGGTTATTTTTGCATCAGCTATCCTCTGTGATTTTATATATATATATATTAGTGTTAAAATGTTAGAGATGATGAATATTAAGCAAACTGGGGAACTAGGTATAATAAATACGATTTAGTGTTTATTAAAGTATTGAAGCATTTGATAAATGATTTATGGCCTTTATTGTAGCTACAAACAGATGGTGTTAAGAGTTTATCTCCTCATGTGAGGGCATTTAACATTACTATACAGTGTTTCCCTTTACTATCAGAGGCTTTAAGGGGCAGTTGGTGATAAAATGCAGAGACCATAAATTACTGCAAAGTGCAGTATAGACTCACACTGCACTGAAATGAAACAAAGCACATAAATTAGGCAACTGTAATGGTTCAGTGTCGTCATTTGTTCAGACGTGGCAGCATTTGAATGCTCACAAGAAGAAATATCATAGACAAAAGTGCTAAATAATTAAAGCTACATTACAGTGCTGTGAATCAGTTGTTAAATGTTTACTTGATGCTTAAAAAAATTTTGGCAATCGAAAAATTTAGGTCATAGTTTGGGGTCGGGGGGAAAACTATTTAATATTGTACTCCTTTCCAATCCATTACAACAGTTTTATTTCTTGACTTGGTCTTTAGCTGGCTGCTATTAAAACAGAGAAAATGGCGAAAAAAATGATTAGTTTTTAAAAAAGATAAAGGGTTCCTGAAAAATTGTGAAATGCATGTTGTTGACAACAGCCTTTTTCGTGTGTGCGTATGTTCAAGGTTTCACAGCAGTCTGCATCACTGTGTCCTTCTCAGTTTCTCAGTGTTTTTTTTTCTTTTGTTACTTTGATTTTTTTTTTTTTTGTAAATGTAAATCTGCTCAGGGTTTAAACTCATACGAAGACCCAAAACACAAGAGTTTTACAGTGTATCGCAAATGCATGATTAGAACTCAGTGGTCCTTGGACATCTTTGCTCAGTACAGTTGCTCTGTGTGTGTTTAGCTGTATTTACAGCTCGTATGTGTCAAACATCCAAACATGGTTCTCCAGTTTCTCTGCTTTCTTGAGCTTACTTGTAATTAAGGTCTGTTTGTTGTACAGTCCACTTTTTCTGTTGAGCCTGTACCACCTCAGTCATATGTTGTGTGATGCTCGACCTGCCCTGGAAGGGTCAGAGCAAAGTCTGGATACGTGAGCTGTCCCAGTGGTGATAATTAAACAGAGGATGTGTTTGATTCCTAAACCTGTGGAGTGGTTACTGTTAGGTGGAACAAGAACAAATCTTTGTATCATTTGTACAGTTTGTAAAATGAGTCAAACTGAAATTGTTCATGCATCCTTTTTTAAATTTTCTTTTTTTTTTTTATGGTGGAGGGAGAACTTATTCGTTAGAGCTTGCTCTCTAATGGGAAGTCTCATTTTAACTTGAATGTGCACCATGTACAGACCAACAACTCATGTTATTTTATCTTTTGGGCTGGTGGCTGACTTGGAAACATTGGGGTTTTTTCTGTTTGTTGTTTTTTTTTTTTTTTAATGCTGTCAAAATGTCACGACAGATTTGGCTCATCTGAAGTTGAAACACTTGAAGGACTTAAATGTTTTTTCCTTTCATTATTGCACGAGTTGCACTACTGACAAGAGTTGTACAAAAGTTCAAAATTACCTGTATATGACTGAGTGCAATGCTCAATAAAGCTTGGTATACTTCTACATTGTTGTGTGTTGTAATACTGAAAAGCTACTGCATTACATTATAGAATTCTCCAGATATGCAGACTACAGTTACAGATGACTGGACTTGAGTTCTTCCAGAAACTTCAGTTAATTGTTTATCAAAAAACAGCAACTAACAATATGAGATGACAAGTGTGGTATGCTTGTTTTTTGTTTTGGTTTTTTATTATTATTATTATTATTAAAGGCAGTAATGCCACTCTTAAAAATACTCCTATGAAAAGTAAAAATACTCCATGTGAGAATGCTGCGAGGTGCTTACTCTGTATTTATTTATTTAGGTACTTAAAGTACAGCTCTGTAGTTAATAAGTGCAGAAGAAGCATTATGCATGCATATTAAACGTGTAAGGTGTATATGAGCATTTATTGCTCTATTACTTTAGGTGTTGCTAATAAACTGGCAACTAAGTATATAATGCCATTACATATAATTCCCCCACACATAAGTTAATACAAAGTGCATTAAACACGAAAGCATGGTGAAATACTCCCAGAAAGGCCGTTACGATGTTTTTATGGAGCAATTCTCCAGATCCTTAAAATGTCAGACTAATTATTTTTTATAAAATAATAATTTAAAAAATCCATAAAAACTGCTGTCTTCTAAACCTCAAGCTTTATATGGTTGTTTTATTGATGAGTTCCCACTGCTTGCATTGCGCCAAGATTGCAATTACCAAAATTAGGAACGTTTATTTTAAAATGATTTAACGCTAAACAGTGCATTTTTCACCCTGTTACGTGCGCCTTCGTTTTTTGGGGGTGGGGGGTTAGAGTGGGCAGGGGTCCGGGTCATGACCCTGAGAGCCACGATTGGACCACACTTTTGCCTTTGTGTGTCCAACCATGTGGCCAAGAGTACTGATGGGACATGAAGAACTGAAATGACTCCTGAGCACATTTTTGAAAAACTGAAGATAACCAAGTCTCCGAAATAAGAGCGCCTGCTTCTAACTCCAGTTACTTTTCTTTTTAGGTAAAGCAGACTGCTATCAGTAGTAATGGATACGACCCCTCAGACAAAGACAGGTACGCTGGTCTTCTTTCATACTTTATCTTAAAAAAAAAGAAAAAATATATATATTAAAAAAAAAATGAGTGAGTATAAAGTTTAACCTCAAATACATGTATCCACGTCTGGTTGCCTATTCTACTTTAAAAGTCTAGTTTCTCCTTCATAATGTTGTGTAAAAATTTAAGTTTAAAACATCTAAACACATATCACGTTTAAACACTTTTTGTTTAAAAAAGTCTTTTAAAAGTGTCGTTAAAGTAAACTCGGGATAAAGGTTGGCAAATGTGCTTAAAATGCGTCTTAAAGCGTGCGCGAATTTGGTCGCTTTGTGGTGAAATGTGCTTCTTTTAACCGTTTTCTTGATAATCCGCAGTGGATAGTAGCAATGTTAAAAAGCACAGTGGGTGTCAATATAAAGTGACGGCCATATTTGCCGGTGCCGCTGTTGTAAACAAAAAGTGAGAGACAGACGCTTCACTGAATTTCGGGTCATTTTTATTTCTTTAATTTACAATGTCTTTGGGAATGTCTTACAAACCCAATGTCCATCAGCACATTCCGGGAACTTCTGGGAACCAGGGTAAGGAAAAAACGGCGGAGAAAATCAAAGTATCCGTCTGTTAAATCGAGTGTTAAATTCGGGGTCTCGGAGAATACCTGGAGAAAGACCGTGTCTGTAGTTTTTGTCCAGTTATATATATAGGGTCAGATCCTGGGAGCTAGGCTAATTCATATCCGCCATTATTACTAATGTAAAAGAGCGCCATCCGCGATACAAGTCGGCGGAGAAACACGGTGGGGATGTGAAAGGAGTCGGCGGCGGTTCCTACAGTGTCGATATCCGTCGTCCGGGGTCGCGGTCCCGCCGGGTGGGTGCCGTTACACGGTGACAAAAATGTATCACTTATGTCTTCTTGAGCCAGCCTTGTTCCGTTTCCTCCATGATGCTCCTCGGTCGGAGCTGCCGATTGATCTGCCTCGAATTTTTTTTATGTCTCTTCGAGGACATCTCGTGTTGGAGGTTGAATATTACAAGCGAACAAAGCGACAGGGGAGCGGTGATTATGGAGGTGCATGTGCGTGGATGGAAGTGTTCAGATCCCCAGTTTCTTTATGTTACCAGCCTAAACATAAAACAATACAAAAAATCAATCTGCTCAAAGTAAAGGTATGTGTTATATAGAGAAATGTATGGAAGAGTAGTGGGAAGAGTTAAGAGTTAAAAGAAAGAAGAAGGAAAAAAATAACAATAGGAATTGTCGTTCCAAGTCAAGCTAATGGTGGTGTACAGATTGCTATGTAGGTATTTGGTAAAATCGTAATTCAAAAATTCTATTAGTAACAAGTGAAATAATTTCTATTTTTAGCACATGAATAAAGTGCAAAAAATGATTTTTTTTTTTTTCCCTGACAGACATTCTCTTATGAGATTGTTAATATTGATGTTTCAGTGCTTTTGCAACATTTTACCCATTTTACTTCTACTTGCTTTACTTTAGTCCAGAGGTAATGGGTCCAGATAAAGGTTGCCAGATACATCTAAAGGTCAATCCTCCTAAATTTCATCACCTCTCCATTTTCATAAGACTCTGGCATACCAAAAATGATATCACCTATGTCCAACATAACAATTTTTAAGTAGTTTTTATGGCTTCATAAGCTGCTGATTAGCTTTATCTTTAATAGGACTGACAATTTTTTTAGTAGGTTTATATTAATCTACTGTACTGTAGTCTTAAACCACCCCTCATTTCTTTATATTTTGCTAGGAAAATGGGAAATGGATGTAGAGATTTATTGAATCATGTGCAAACATACATGGGGATACAGTATATAATGCAAAAAGAGAGTTTATATAATTCCAACAATCTCGAAAGTCGAAGCTTTGTTCTTCAACACAGCCTTAACTCTCATAGGAACTAGGAACATAGGAACACTGCTTCAGAGTAAGGGGAGGTCAGACTGACTGTGTTCCAGTAAATGTTTTTGTATCCAGGTATGCTCTACTCCAGTGTGTTTGGAACAGTATCCTGGTGAAAAATGAAACGTTTGCATAGTGGATCAAAATCTGATGGTACTTTTCTCCGTTCACAGTCCATTAATTTTGACAAGAGCCCCAACATCACTGGCTAAAGTGCATCCCCAAACCATGACAGAGCTTTCATCCTGTTTTATAGATGGCTGTAGCGCTCTCCTGACCTCGGTACACAAACTAAAATTTTGAACGCCCTGTTGCTGGTGATTTTCAGCCCAGTTCTTGTGTAACTTGGCATACTTGAGCCTTTTCCCCCAGGTTCCCTTCCTTAAGAACAGCTTCTTGACAGCTACGCTTCAGCTGAGCCTGTTTCTGATGAGGCTTTGGTGAATAGTAGGTGGATCACCTGAAGGGCCAGATGCATCTCTCCTGTGACAGATTTTTTTTCTCCTTTTTCTTAAACACATGACATTCAGATAAGATAACCCAGGCCTAAAAATAGCTCTTTAGGCCTTTGCTCCTCTTTTGTCCTCTAAGTTCTCCATATTGGTGTAAATATACTCTAATATACCTGACAAACTGTGTTATTGTTGGCATTTTTCATAGTCATCTAAAGATGTTTACTTCTGCAGCAGGCTGCTGGTAAAAAAGTGCCTCAAGACAGAATTTAAATTGGTTCTTTGCTAAGTCCTCTGTCATGTAGTAACAAAACTCCTTGATAATTTAAGTTTTGTGCCTTTTTTCAAGCTTGAGTGATTCATAGATCAGTGTTAGGTGGCTTTACAAAGAAAAAGAAAATTCCTTTGAAGGTGATCAGGTACAAGGACTGGACTGAACTTTAAACAACCTTCATTGTTCAAGATGACTTGATAAAAATACTTATCAAAAATTTGATAAAAATGATAAAGTCTGTCTTCTTGGAAGAAAAGTATAAAGATTCATTGGTATACTCATCTCTTTTCTTCATGTCTGAGGTCACTGAATGGGTGGTTTGATAAAGGTTTTGAGTGTGATGACAGTAACAAGCACTGCTGCTGCTGAAACTAGAAAATCACTTCACCCCGCCTGGGCTCACTTTCTTGCGGCGTTGTAATTTTAATGTTTTGTGTGTGTGTGAGAGAGAGGAGATACTACACCTGTGAGAAGAATAATTGTGGTGAATGCTGTAGTATATTTCATTCGCACACATGTTCCTAAAAACCTTTTACAGTGTATGCATCTTTTCTTTAACTGTAATGTGAAACATATGCACTGTCAAGCCCTGCACCATCAGCATCACCTCCCTGCTGTTTCCCACACCACAAACACTGAAGAGCTTCCTTTGTGAAACAGCTGACTATAAGAAAAAAAAACAAACCCTGCTTTACTGCTCTGATAATACAATTTCCATTAAAAAAATCTCTTTAATGGCAAACAGTTTCTATTTGTAGTGCCTTTTAACCTTACAGGTTCTCTAAAGTGCTTTAAAAGTTGAGCAGTTGGCTGAGGCTTCTCAGCTGTGAAAGTTTTCTATTTTTCGAATATATTTGATTTGTGTGTCTATTTTGATGTTGACAGGAGTTGTTTTTGAATTGTCCACAGTTGCAAACCTTCAGTCCCCCTCAGCAGCTAACCTGGCCACGCTGCAGTCCTACAGGCCCCTTCTGAGTGACTATGGACCTCCTTCTCTGGGATTTTCACAGGTAACTACTAAACTCACTGCATACCCCAGCTCGTAAAGGCAAAAGCAAATAAACATACTTTACCAGTTTTTCCATTTCCTACCAAGTATCAAACTGTACTGTGTCGATAAGGCTCCATTTTGCATACCAGAAACCAGTTTAAATGTATTGAACCTGACTGATTTTTGCTTTAACTTCAGGGCTCTACTGGCAGCCAAGTGCCTCAGAACAAATATGCAGAGCTGCTGGCCATCATTGAAGAGCTCGGAAAGGAGATCAGACCCACATACGCTGGAAGTAAGAGTGCAATGGAGCGACTGAAAAGAGGTAACCTTGATATGTAGAGCAATACAAAAGCAGCACGCAAGCATTAACATTTCTCAGACTAAATGTGTATTTGTTCTTCTTCAAAGGAATAATCCATGCCAGGGGGCTGGTGCGTGAATGCTTGGCTGAGACTGAGAGGAATGCAAGGTCCTAGCTAAAAACGCCCATTCCTCCCTGCAAGAACTACCTTTCATGAGGAGAAAAAATAACTTGCATGGCGTTTCCTTTGCAAGGAGGAAGTAAATGAACAAAGGATGGAACAGCAAGCTCCTCGAGGGAGAGAGAGAGAGAGAGAGAGAGAGAGAGAAAAAAGAAATACAGTAATGCAATTTGTGACTCCTGAGAGCTCTGGAGGATAATTTCAATCATGTGTGGGTTATTGGAACTAAAATGAGAGATATCATGTGTTTGTTTTTTTTTTGTTTTGTTTTGTTTTTTGGTTGTTGTTTTTTTTTTATGCCCCATTTTTTGGATCATAGTTTTGACTTCATATTTAAAGCATTGGTTTATGCATGCAAATGGGCCCATAGGTTAATTGTAGACACTGCATGGAGTATACAGGTGTAGATGGGGAGGACTTTTTCTTTGAATTTTTTTTAAACTTTGGGGTTTTTTTGGTAGTGGTTGGTCTGTTTTTCAGACCCCTTTAACACCTAGCTAAGTAAGGGAGGGACAGAGACGTGCCAAATGCATCAGTTGATTCATGTTGAGGTTGGTTTTGGTATTAAAGGGAGGGAAAAAAAAGGAAAATGCTGTTAACTTGCATCTTTGTATGTATTTATTACTCAGTGTAATAAATTGTATTTTCAATATAGTTGTCAACATGATTCATTGTACTCTGGGTTTAATAAGTACATTACTTTTTCCCATGTACACATGGTTCAAGAGACTACTGGTGTATTGTACTATCCATCCATCCATTCGCTTCCGCTTATCCTTTTCAGGGTCGCGGAGGGTGCTGGAGCCTATCCCAGCTGTCACAGGAGTACACCCTGGACAGGTCACCAGTCTGTCGCAGGGCTAACACATAGAGACAGACAACCATTCACACTCACATTCACTCCCACATTCACACCTATGGGCAATTTAAATTGATCAATTAACCTATCCCCACTATTGTACTAGTTATAGCTAATTATAGAGGCCAATGATGGTCTGTCAATTAATTAAATTTAACCTACTAATAAATCAGCACCTACCTATAATGACACATCTCTTTGGACGAATGGATGATGGACCAGTAAACCATTTTGGTCCAGGTTGAAATATATCAACAGTTGGTTTGTTTGCCATGATGATGGACATAACCGTCATGATATAACACATTGTAATACTATTAAAAGCTAGATGAAAGTAGGCTGAATCAGAAAGTCAACTGCACCGAGTGCTCATGTGGTGGTGACCTGCCAATCACAAGGTAGGTTGTACGCCTGCCTGAATTCTGTAGACTTATCCATGCCAAAAGGGAGAAAATATTTATCTCAAACATTTAACAGTTATTAACAATTAATCTGCTATTCACAGAGCATTAATTGACAAATATTTTGATGACAAAGTGCTTCTGAGACCTGATGAGTTACTTCTGTATGACAATAAATCACCCCCAGCTTTATCTTTAAGCAGTATTTTTCATATTCTCGAAGGCCTCTAATATATAAAATGAATTCTTGTGTGACATATTTTATGTTCACAGATATTGTAAAATACCCATAATTAAGAAACCTGCAAATTAATGCCTAGCCAAATGGGAGATGCAAGATCGGAAATCAAAATAGAACATCTGACTTGTTGTGACAGTGGACATGGGGTTCCTCCACATGTTTGAATAATTAAAATTCAACCAAACAAACAAATAAGTACAAAATTTCAAATACATTTCAAAAATGAGAATGTGATGAAACTTTTTACTCTGGTTGTTCCACAAACACACAATATGATTTGGTGTACAGGTCTGTGTTGAAACCAAATTATATTATATGCAACTGTATATACGGTAGTCACTGTTTTACATTCAAAAGTACTTTAAAAAGGAGCGACCCTCCTGAGTAAAATGTGTTTTGTTTGACTACTATATAAGTTGCTAGTACCCTTGAAACAATACTAACAAAACTATATTTAAAAAACGATACAATCAAAGATGTAGTTTAGCAACGATGGAAATCATGCATCGTTGCTAAACTAAAATAAATGAGAAATGTCTAATATGAAACCCATCACACACTAGTTCAAAAATCGAGCTAACTGACTTTAAAACACAATAAGGCGTATAAAATCAGAAACTCTTCATGACTTAAGTTATCTGGCTTAAAAGCCACACTTTAAGTCAAATAAACATTTTTCTTTTTCCCGTTATCGATAATTTACAATCCTCATGCTTTTGGTTTATCTACGGTCCCAACAGATGCGTACGCCTCTGTCCCCCACATTACCAATAGAAACACTGAGTGAAAGTAACGACCAATCACAGCTCTGTATTTCAGATAATATTTTGACCAATAGCAATGTGGGCTGTGAACACTACAGCAGCCAACGACCACTGCAGTGCAGTAGCCAACCAGCAACCAGCTAGCCAGCTAGACTACTCACAGAGAAATATGGATGAAATAATGATACAAGTTAACGGGTAGGTTAAATGTTTATTATATGTAGCCAATCAGCGTGACACAGTTTTCTGTTTTATATAATTTATTATATACCCGCGTGCGCTATCGTTTCACCCGCGCTCTCCTGTGTGCCTACGCTGTGCTTACAAACCTGTCATAAACCAACTTAACCAAACTGAGCTAGCTAGCTAACCATTTTGAACTGCTAGTCAGAGGTAGTTATTGTGCTAGCTTGGTAACTTAGCCTGACTGACCCAGGCTCCCGTGGAGTTTATAGGCAACTTCAACCGTCTGCAGCATCCGTTGCGCTGGCCGACACCATAGCTAAAACAGCTAATGTAGCTTCTTACTAAATGAACCAGCTCACCGCTTGTGGATCTCTATCTCTGTTGATTATCTTGTTGTTGGCTAAGTTAATTAGGTGTCCAATCAAAGCTGCCCATGTTGGACGAGCTCTCACATATGGCAAACACAGGTCATGACAGACAGACTGACAGAAGAGGCTAAAGCAAGAACAATTACATATTATCTTAAAAATCTGCATATTGTGCACGGCTTTTGTTTATGTCTTATTTATGTTGCTTATATTTATGTCAGTTACTGAATGTTGATAGTAGATCTAAGAACAAAACTAAGAGTTGATTTGGTGTCTTTTCTTGGCTTTTACATGTATTATACATTAACGTATTAATGCATTGTCGTGTTCACAGTTCAGCAGCACTTCCTGTTGTTGAAGCTGGAAATACAAGAAGTGTGATTAACAGCACTCTGAACTTTTCTCCTTTGGTCCCTAGCTGTCAGAGTGACTCCCTCTGCATGGGCCCATAAAAATGTCCACAGATGACAGTATCTCAGAGGATGTGTCCAGCTCAGGGGCTTTGAGCCATTGCCATGTCAGTGCTGATGGGGATGTGGGCAAGGAGAGCGAAAACTCGCTGGTGTCTTCTGAGGGGACATCAGCCTCAGGACTGGCTGTCTCTGAGGGGAGACGCACAACCTCCCAAACAACAGGAGGCACTGTGGAGTGCAGGCCCATGGACATCACACCAGCATGCAACAAGATCAGGTACCGTAACTCTAAGTTCCTTACTGTATGAGGAAGTGTCTGCATAAAAAAAGAAACACTTGCCCCTTTTAAAATATTAAATATTTGAATATTTTTTTCCTAATGCAGGTGTGTTGTTGCAGTTTTTTTAAATTTAAATGCTTAAAAAGAAATTGATTTACATTTACTACCTATTTATGCAGAAGATTTTCTCCATTATTGTGACAGCTCTCTTTAAATGCTTGTGGAAATTTGAACATGTGTAGGAGTGTTGAATATGAAGATGCATTGATTGCAATTTTCTGTGTCAATTTAGATTTATGGTCTTTTAAAACTCCTATTACAGTTTTTTCTTTCTTTCTAAGAACTACAATTGACCGCATACATGATTATTTCTCAGATTTCAATGGAATGGAAAATTGAATAGGTGCTGATATTACTCTGTTGTGTTGTGTTCAGTGGACCTTTTTGTGTTGTGTTTGGAAAACCTCTGAACAGATTGAGTTTAGACATGTACAGACAAAGCTATCTTTAAGCAGTATTCTATCAAAAGTAGTAGAGCACGTGGATTACTGGATCTTTCTATACATACAATATACATATTGGGTGGTATTTATTTATAGTTACACATGTAGAGTGTTAAACTGGAAGAGGAAGTATAGGGCTATTTTGTTAATTTCCACCAAAACATTTCAAAGACTAAAAGATAACTTCCAGTGCTTGACACTGCCTGCTGCTCAGCTGTGACGTTACTCTGCTGCATGTACTGCAGACAAACGTGTCAGAGCTATTCTTCAAGATATACACTGTTTTTAAATATACAGATGGATATTCTTCTGCCTTATGTTGCATAAAAATATTTTTAATATTGGCGCATGTTGAACAAAATATCAGACACTGAAAAGTCTGTGATAGGCCAATATCTGCTGCAGATATTGGCTGCACTAAGAAGTAGAGATCTTTTTTGACTTTTATAATTTTATTTAGTTGTCTCTAAAATACTGCTCAGCTATAATAATAATAATAATAATAATAATAATAATAATAATAATAATAATAATAATAATAATAATATTGCCAGACAGTATAAAATAATACTGGCTGGAGAAACATATCTAATATATTCTAATCTAATATCTAATATTTTAATACTTGATACAATATTTTAACAGTATCCAATTTGTTTTACAGGAGCCTATGTCTGAGCACAGATGAAGCCTTTGAACAAGGGAAGACCCTACCATTCATCAATCCAAGCTCCCTGGAGACCCTTAGGGCCCTGGTCCAGGAGATCCAGAGCAGTGGAGAGACAGACCCTGAGATCTGGAAGGACTGCGAGGTAGGAAAATACCTATTGAGACTAGAAGACAATAGGTCTTGTAGAAAGGCTGATGATGAAGTGTAGTTAGTGTTTGCTGCTTTAGCAGTTTGTTCTTGTGCGCTGTATTTGGCTGCTGGTAGCCTCAGTTCAGACTTGTCACATGTATTTTTTGATCAAATCACACCTGACAGTAAGATAGATGCACACATACACATTTACAGACCCCAACACCCACACAGCACCACTCCACAGCTGATCTTTGCAGACACAGGATGTGATTTGCAGAGAACAGACAACTGTGATGCTCTACAATGTGAAGGCACTTTATGGCACAGTTCATCAAGCTTGAAGGCTTTCAGTTTGTACACCTGGGTATAACACACTCTGTTCTCAATCTTTAATTACTGTATGGGTAGGTCACAGGGAAATTAAATTCTTCCTATGTCTTATTTCTCTCTAATGGAAGTTTGTATCATAATTGTTGTGCACAGCTTGGTTCTCTGGCACCTTCATAAATACACATAGTATTGCAGTCTTCTAGTGTACATAGAACTATTTTTTTTGTGTTCTCAACTCTACTCAATTCAGATTTATTTATAAAGAGCATTGTTTGTCTCGGTGTAAGTTAACCCGTCCTCATGTGTTTCATGCTGCTCTGGATTCATTTTGCCTTTGTGGATATTATATTCTTTGGACTGCTTAAACAACCCTATTAAAAATGTATTTTGAGTTTAACCCTTGGCTGTTTTGGTGTTGTGCATTTGGGTCAGTATTCTGCAATTCATGGGAGTGGGACCTGGAAAGGAAGCAGGTTTGTAGGAGGTTGGTGATGTAAGAAGGGGTCAAACCATGAAGGGCTCTATTGACAAAGAGAAGGATCTTTAAATCAATGAAATCAATTCTAAATTTTTCAGGAAATCAAGAAGCTAAAACAGGTATAATATGATGTCTTTTTTGAGTCCGTGTGAGGATCCTAACAACAGCATTTTCGATAAACTGAAGATGGGACAGAGAGGACTGAGACAATTGTAAAGTGAATTGCAGTAGTTGAGTGGGAAGAAATCAGGGCATGAATAACAATCTCCAGATCTTTCACATACAGAAAAGGCTTAATTTTTGATATGGAACAGAGATTAAAAAAACAAAACAAAGACGTTTTAACCACTGAGGTAATTTGCTTGTCAAACTTAATCAGAAAGTGGACTTCTCATTGGGGTTGAGGCAGAGGTGCAGCTGAATAGTGTCAGTATGAGAATGAATAGAGATTGTGTTTACTCATGATTTGTCCCAGAGTAAGCAAAACTGGGAGACCAGAATAAGCCCTAAGATGGAATCCTGAGATACCCTACAATAAGGTGCAGCTGATGTAGAAGAATTGTTTTCATTTTATACTTTTTAAAGATGTTGTTTTTCTGTATGCAAGGAATAAGTTGCTGAAGAATTTTGGTAGTGGTTGATTGTAGAGGTTGGTAATTATTAGGTAATTTGGAGTCTAAGTTGTACTTTCTCAGCAAGGGCTAGATTACCTGCTTCAAGAGAGATGGAACAGTACCAGTAGATTTAGAAGTGTTGATAATGGAGAGGGTGCTTGGATCAAATACATCTTTCAGAAGAGTGGAAGGCACAGTAACTAGAAAGCAAGTTGTAGATTTCTATGAGAAATCTCTGTCTTTGTAAGAGCGGGTAGTGTTATCTGTTTAAATGTCTGTCTATTTGAGAGAGTCAGTTAAACTGTGAAAGGGGTGGGAATGCTATTAGTCTCAACTTTACTAGTAAAGAATTGTAGAAATTATTCACATTTTAAGAGTTGATGGGAGAAAACATACATTGAGCAATCATCAATCATTGAGTCAGGATGACTGTTTAAGTCCAGACTTTCTCAATTTATACAGAGCAGCAGTATCCATAATTGAGGAGCAAGTGCTTTTGAATAAGTTAGTAAAATCTTCATGGCTGAGATAGAGCAGGGAAGCTGCTACGGACCAAGCATCTGTTGCAGCTTTGAAGGACTCACCAAAATAGTTAGCAGTGGAAGAATTAATATAATGTGATTGGTGAAAAGGTAGATGCTGTGTGGCAGGGGGAAGAAGGAGCAGCATATCAAAAAGGATAATATAGAATTCAAATGAAAAAGCATCAGTTATATCCAGTTTACAAATTGAAATACCAAAAGACAAATCTAGGTCTAACATACGGTCCGGTCTTGGAGTGGGTGCAGTAGTGAGCCAAGTGAGATTAAAAGAATGAAGGAGGTGCATTAAAAAAAATTACCGTAGGTTTATCAGGACAGCAAACATGGACATTAAAATCACCAAGAATTAAAACTTGATCACATTTTGTTATTGTTCTTGAAAGAAAATCACAGAATTGATTGATAAAGCCCTTCTGAAATGGCAAATGGAAGCTATCAAGAGCAGATTGACCATCAAGTTACAATCAGCTGGGCAGAGTTTGATGAGCGGAGAAATTTTCCGATGATTCAGGAGGTCTGCTTCACGAAGTGGAAGGAAATCCAGAAGTCAGTGGCTTAGCCCCTAGGGATAGGTTGGAGTAGGGTTTACCTGGGCGCAAGAATACAGTGGTAGACAAGTTGACAAGGCTGGTCAGATTTGTCTTCTTTAATTAATCAGATAAGCTGATATCAGTTTGAGACGTGCATTCTCAGCTGAACACTTCTTGCACCTTTCCTCTGATGGCAGCCACAGGGGTTAGCGCAGGGCCCTCTAGGTATACTGAGGGGTAGTTAGCGGAAAGGACATTTCTGACTAAATTCAAATTTGTAAGTGTCCCTGAAAGAAGAGAGTTGGGCAGTTATAAACTATGGCAGCTTGACATTATTTATTCAAATTTACATAAACAGAGACCTGACAAACACCAAGGGCAGCAGGTGGTGAGACGCAGCCAGACACAAAGGCGCGGCCATACTGATATGGTGGATGTCCAGAAAGCTGATTTCTTGACCATGCAGTATAATAGCAAGTATATAGATTACACATGTGGTTATGTTCATGCTGTTTCTTCATACATATAGCATGTTCACACATGTTTGATTCACATAGGCAGAGGTTCATTTTCATGTCATGAGGACCTTAGTGGCACATGGAAGCATCTGTCTGACAAGACATATTTAGGGGAGGGAATTTATGTTTTATATGGGTTTTCTTTGTTTTAAATAAAAAAGTAAAACTTGAAAAGGTTAACTTATACATTTTCTTTCATGGAGAAATCTAAAATTAATTAATTAATAAAATCTCAGAAATAACTGATGGACTGTGGTTTCAGTGCCCATATCTAATTGTGTACGCTGTATACTGAACAACGGTTGACTCCTAAACTGGGTTGTAAGGTTGGGCAATTGGATGAATTTATTTTTTAGTCTTTCGCTGATCGTTTTTACAAGAGCTATTTATTTATTTGCCCATGAGTACATTTGCTAATAATGTTGGTTGAAGCTAAGAGAATCAGTCAACCGAAAAAATAATAGTGCTGTTTTAACGGTCCCCTCTTCCACCTGTGTGCAAATGCACCCACAGTGCGCCTAAATGCAGCGATTCATTTACTTAAACTCATAACAAAAAGAAAAGTAAGCAGCAGCCTATGTTCAGAAATAAACAAAAACATTTTATTTAAATAAAAATTCCACAGTGGTGGGGAGGGAAACAAAGAGAAACCGGCTTCTTTTTTCCACTATAACAGGCTGTGTTTACAGGCCGTTCCAGTGTTTATCTGTCTTACACACTCGGCCAAACAACAAATACAAAATTAAACAAAAAGTAAGTTAAAAATAAAAATGTCTCTTCCAGCGAGCATTAAAAAAACCAAACCAAACTTCAATGTAATGCTAAGTCTTTTGTGCGATTTGGCGCTTCTCAAATAAATAAATTAATAATACAAAAAGTAGCTATATTAAAACTGAAACAAACAAGAAAAGAAAGTAAAATATTCCCTCTAAACAAAACTATAAATTCTAAACACAGAAATCAGTCTGTGCATGATTACATTGCTCTGGCCATCAAAAAGTCACCTGTGCGGACCTATCGGCTGTCGTCAGTTATTGGACTGAGAAATGTCGGTTGGAAAAATTTTACATATCGCCCAACCTTACTGGGTGTGATGTCAGATGATTGCAGGTGTTTGTGTAGAAACTATGAACAGACGCTTTCCCTTAAACCAGGCAACTCCAGGACTCGAGGGCCGGCATCCTGCAGGTTTTAGATAACCATTCATTCTGCGGTTTTAATCCCTACTTGCATTTTATATACCCCCAAAACAGTTATGTACAAAACGAAGGAGAACACGGCAGGTCCGTACAAAGACAGAATTGACGAAGAGGTAAAAAAAAAAAAAAAAAAGGTACGAGGAAAAAATCAAAGGAGTGAAAGGGTTAGACTCATACGAGCATACAGAGTAGACTAAAGACATTAGCTTGCTGCCCAACTTTCATCACACTCATATTTATAATTATATGGTCCTAAGTGTGAGTCCATACACTCATGAAGTCTTTAGTAACTTCAGGTCCCTGCAACAAGCCCAGTTCCAGTTTACTGACGGATGGGTACAGGACCTTGAGATGTTCCGAGTAGCCAGATATGTAGGTGGACACCATGTTTTATTCTAAGTGAAGGGCAACCCTTCAAAAAACGGACAGAGCAGTGGAATAGCCAAGGCAATAGAACAATACAAAACTTTGTACTAAAATATAATGTATTTCACAAAAAAGATTTAAAACAGATAAAAACATCCCTGGCCAGGGGGAACACACAGTAAAAACATAAAAACAACACTAAAAGTCCAGTGGTGTCAGCCACAGCATTAAAATCCACTTAAATTGGAGCGGGGCAAAGAAAACCCGGCAACGACCCCGGCCGTCCTGTCTGTCTCTTCGCTCAGGAGTACTGGAAGAGAGAGGGGGCAGCAACAGTCACTGTTCTTTCCAGTGAAAGGGATTTCTTGTAGCACAGTGTGTCTCGGGACTTACCCTGCAATCCAGGGGATCTGTCGCCTCTTCGTGACTTTGGAAAGATGACTTGAACAATTTTTCTTCCACGAAGGAATCTGATAAAAACCGATCTCTTTACCCGTCGGCTTCCCGTGGCTGTCATGCAACTGGCTATGGCAGTTAGTAATACAACAGCTTCTTGCCATTCTTTGTGTCTCTGTTTATCTCTGTGTGACTGTTGTCTTGTAATAGCCCGCGCTTTTATTCAAAGTAAGACAAGTAACGATGTTTGTTTTTCTGCAACAGGGTCGATGGCTGCATCTGTTTCAGCTGGTTGAGAAGCAATACCAAGAGCAAATACTTGCTCAGCAAGAACAATACCAGTGCCAAATACAGGTAAGCCTGCATTTAACATCATGTCCTGTTTTATGAAATTGGACCACCTCAAAAAAGAGATGGTGGATTACAAGGGGACTATCTTAATAAGTATATTGAAAGCAATTTCTTACAGTAAAATAATTCCTCTTTTTCAGTTGATTCAGGATGAAATTAAGGCCCTGGTTCAGCTCCAAAACCGCCAGGCTAGTGTCCAGCATGGGGAGTTCTCCCCAACTCCTGTGAGCAAAAGTACCACAAACATGAAGGACTATATTTTCCCCCCTGTCTCCAGTGAATGTACTGTTCCCAAAACTGTGTCCAGTGACAATGACAGTCTGGCAGCTCCCGTCCATACCCCTTTTAGCTCCCCATCGCCTCCACTCCCTAGGTCTGAGACCACAAATCAGCGAGATGAGCGTGCAACCACAGTGCTCAGCAGTGGATATGGGACTCTTTCTACTTGGGAGTCAAGTCTGGAACCTGCAGGTTCACCGGGAGAAGATGAGGTTGTTGGTCAAAGAAGCGAGAAGCATCACTGGTCCTTTAACTTCCAGAAAGACACAGAGACAAGTATGCTTGGTTGCCAGCAAGATTTCTCCAATGAGAGGATGCTCGGAGTGAATGAATCACTAGTTTATCAGCAGAAAATCTCTGGGTATGTAAGGTCAAACACATCCACGCTAAACTGAGTTTGTAAGGATGTACTGTGGTGTTTTCTCAGCTTTTTCAGACATAAACGTCTATCTGTTAACCCAAGAGCATCTGAAAATGGCTATAGACAAAGTCTGACACTAGTCCATAAACATTACAGACATGGTAAAAGGCACGGTTTACACATGTTCAGCTGGCCAACAGTTTATTTTATATGTTGAGTGTTTAAAATAATGGCAAAGTCTTCAATGTGATAAAGACAGAGTTTGTGACAGGCCAAATTAATGAGATTTAGTCGGGAGCCAAAGTTATTTGTTGCCTGCAGCTGCCTGTAGAAGTCTTGCCTCTGAGTTTCCAACACCTGCAGCATCAATCATTAAGCAAGAGAGCTGAGCAGATTTATGAATGTGACACAACAATAGTAGCTTTTACTATAGTAGCGCCATTTACTTAAAATAAATGGCGCCCAACATATAGACACCATTGATTAGGATCAAGCAGCTAGTGACTGTGTACTTCACTTCAGATCTGTCACGCAGTCAGTTTATACCCAGTTTATACCCTACAGTGAGGAACATGAATGTAAACATGACCTAAAAGAAAGACACTGATGAAGCCATCAATGTTAAGTGTTCTGTGTTTGAAACTGGTTTTATAAATACATTTAATATCAAATTTAATTGCCTGTAGATGTTTTCTAAAACATTTTTTGAAACTAAATGGCCACCCAACATGACATAGTCACATGAGAGTCTCTGGCTGGCAGATGATCGGAAGCCTAAATTCAAACAAGAAAACAGGAAATATGTCTCAAAAATTGAGCATATCCTGCCAAATATCTAGATCATCATATGTAGATCATCCCCCCTATCACACTAGCTACTTTAGTAATACTGTTAGGAATTAGTAACTTAATCTGGAAAGTACTAACACAGTATTACAATATAAATGCACTTGGTAAATGGCTCTAGAATAGTGGTTTTCTTAAGTTTTGATAAATGAAAACAAAATTAAAAATGTAATTAAGGACAAAAACATGTGTATGTGTGCTTACCCAATTATTTTGGACATGTTTGCGAGTGCGAGTCTTTACTAAGCTTTATTGGAATATATCATTGTGCTAGTGTTTCCTTTCCCTGTCTCACTTGTGTGTTCACCACGTCGCACTCTGAGTGGAGCAGAGGGCACACAGGTGACTCATTCTCAACAAGCGTTAAACTGAACATACTGTAGTGAGAGAAAGAGAAAAAATGCTGTTGTCAGAGCTTTTCAGTTGTGTCAGCGTATGCAACCAGTGTTTTAATCACAAATTGTTACAAACAAACAAAGAAATCTTTGGAATGCCTCCAAACTGCTGACCCTTTGCTGTAATATTAAATAAATAGTAAAGATAGAACAAAAAGGCACTGAAGTGACTGGATTGGCACCAGTATGCTTGTTGTAACAATACTCATTCAACCCTTTAGATACCCTGCAAGAATCCTGTTGAGGTTTAGGCAGCATTTGTCTGAGAAATTATAATTTTACTTACCCTAAGCAATTCTGTTGACAGCACCAGTCAACAGTTGACCTCCTGGGCCCAGAGGCAGAAACTGAGGCCCAAGAAGAGCAAAGCAGGACAAGCGTCATCCCAAATACCAGAGTACCAGGAGCAGCCTCGCAGCCCCAGAGAATCCCACAGTCAAAACACTGTGGAGAGCACAGAGTCCCAGGACCAGGTATAACCCAGGAAGTGGTGACAGCCTCTTCTCCAGGATTAATTGTCCAAGATTTTGCATAGATAAAATAAAATAAAACAAACAAACCCAAAACAGCAACAGTGCATAGTGTTTATTTGTAGTATTTTTTCTTTTTGCTGTATTTTTCTGTTTTGATTACTTTCCTGCTGCTGAATCTAATCCACTCATCTCTATTGGTTTTCAGCATCAACCAGCTGGGCCGTCTTCCAGCTCTTTTCCACTGAGGAGGAGTGATAGTTTAGCATCTGAAGCCTCAGGTAAGAATTCAGTGACTTGAATTCAGACACACAGTGACTGGATTTGGCTGTAAAGTATATTGAAAGTATATTGAAATAAATCAAATACAAAACATGAAATAAAATAAAAAAATACAGGATATTACACTTTTTCTTTTAGAAGATGAAGTCCCTGGTCATATCAAAAATTGAAAACATACATCTCTACACATACCTGGAGAGCTAATTTCTGTGTTTCTTGCAGTTAAACATATAGTAGAGTTACAATAGAGTTGCATTTTTCTCAGCCAGTCAACCATTTTTTAAACAGCTGTTCACTCCAAGGTTTTT